GAAACAAAGTCTTTGTAAATACGGAGGGATGGAGGGGTTGAAGGGAGGGCAGGGGAAGGGGGAAAAATAAGAACCAAGAGAGATTATGTAAAGTTGCATATCTCCAATGATGAATGTCATTATATTGTATACCTAAAATGTATCAATAAAAGGATTTTTAAAATAAGTAAATAAATTAGAGGTCATTAACTTGACCATGACGGGGCTGAGACTCCATGCAGCTCAATCTTGCTCAGTCTCATCCATTTGCAAGAGAGGAAGAAGATGCAGCTGAGGTGGGGTGGGGATTGGGCTGGGCTGAGTCTCTTAGGGGGCTCTTGGGGTCTTTGAAGGAGGCAGGAGAAGGTGCTGTCATTGCACACAGGAGCTGTGTGGAGGACCCGGCTGCTGGCAAGCACCTGAGTTGCTGGAACGGTCGCAGGCTTGGTCACCCTCGAGGGACGAAGCGGGTCTCCTTGCCTTCCCTGTCTTCTGTTCCCCATAGTCAGGGGAAGGGAGGAGACCACCGAGGCCCCTTCCAGCCTGAACTGCCCCGAGCGAGAAGAGCTTTCTCCTGCTGGTGTTGACAGTTTGTTTGTGGTCCTGGTGTAGTAGTGGTGCTGTAAGATAAGTTCAGTGATTCTCTTTTCTTTTGGGTCCTATAGATGCTAAGAGAGACAATAGATACTTCTCCTTTATATCTCATCGGCAGTCATTAGCATGTGACCAGTTTATACGTGACTAAAATGCTAGAGAGACGAGAAAAACACGGATGTGGTGCCACAGGCCTGTCATCCCAGTATTCTGGAAGGCTGAGGCAGGTGGATTGAAAACTGAAGCCCAGCAGGGGCAACTTAGTGAGACCCTGCTGGGGTTCCGGCACCTGCCTTGCAAGCACAAGGTCCCAAGTTCGATCCCCAGTACCAAAAAAATAATAATAAAATAAAAAATAAATAAAAATAGTAAAAAAGGGTGGGGGACATAACTTGGAGGAAAGGCCCTGCCCTGGGTTTAGTCCCCTGTGCAACCAAAAACAGGAGAAACCGTGCCTTCCACCTGAGTTTTGAGATTCCAGATGATTAAATGTGCTAAGATCAATTTTAGTGGAGATTGAAGTAAAAAAATATTTTGAAAAATTAAAAGTAGACGATAGTTTGGGAAATATTTTTCAGCACATATTTGTATTGAAATGCACACATTTGAAGAATCAGCCACGACGTAATCGTTGTAGTAGATGTCATGAATGGAGTTTACGTCAGTGGCATTGCTTTATCAATGGAAATGTAGTTCCCGGGAGATCTTCATCGCAATGCCCAGACCCGGGGTGACACGCGTGTGTCTCCCTCCACCGCACCCCGCGTTGTCTTGCAGGCTGGCGGAGGAGACCTTCACGGCGGACGAGGTGGCAGACGTGCTGAGCGGGCTGCAGACCGTGGTGCACAGCGAGGTGGAGTCCGAGCTCATCCACACGGCGCACACCAACGTTCTGCTGCTGCGCCAGCTCTTCGAGCAGGCTGAGCGCTGGTACCTCAAGCTGCGGACCGACGTCTCGGAGCTGGAGAACAGGTGACCGCAGGCGCTGCCCGGGACTGGCTTCTCCGGTCTCACCGCTCCTTACGCAGCTCGGCTGCTCAGTGTCGCAGTAGCTCCTTAGAGATAGGTCAGGAGGAAGTGAAGCTTATCAGTTAGAAATTGATTCAAATATAAGAAGTGCCATAGATTCAGACTAACAGCATTAGAAACTGATCCTCAGTCATTGCTTTCAGATCATACACTTACTGTATAGTAGGAAACAAAATATTAAAAAATTTATAACCAGAACATCTAAGGGCTTACAAATTTCAAAAGCTATGGTAAAATCCATAAAGTCACAACCGATTGCAAGACAAGGCGTGCAGGAAATCAGCAGGGTGGGAGCACGGAGCCCCAAACTGCTTCCTGCAGGTGAGGCCAGAACCCCATTCCGTTACTGCAGCCTTCAGCCGGTGGGCTGTGACAAAACTCTAAGAAGTTGATTTTGTTTAATTTGGTTTTTTGTTGCTGTTTGTTTTGTTGAGATTAAGTCTCACAGTGTAGTAGCACTCACTACCTACCGCTTACAGCAATCCTCCTGCCTCAGCCTCCCAAGTGCTGGGATGACAGGCGTGCGCCACCACGCCAGGCTGAGAAGTCAATCTAGGAAGTTCAGAAGCCTCATGTGTGAGTGCGTGCACAGTCAGTCAGCTCTCCTTCATCTTTGCAGGTCATCAGGGGCCCCAGCCCACACCATCCCCTGTCTTTCCTGGGAATACCTGAGGCTGTTTTCCGTAGATACGGTGGCATTTTCCGGGCTGTTTCACTAAAACTCAGCTTGCCCTTCTTAGCTTTCGGTGTGTGTGTACGGTGTGTGTGTACTGAGTGACAGCAGTCTCATGGCGCCTCGGCAGTGAGAGACAGAAGTGTGAGCGTCACGGAATTGCGCTGGCGCCGTCACTTTTAGCTGCCTGCAGGGACTCGCTGCAAGCTGGGCTCCCGGTGCTGCCGTCGGCTGCCATCGGCTGCCCTGTGTCATGTTTAAAGCTTGGTGCGGCCCATGCTCCTCCGCCTTGCATGTGCTAGGTTCATGCCATGACTTTATTCTTCTTTTGTGCGATACTAGTCTATTCTAAATGAGTGTTTCTTTTGCATTTGCTTTCATCTTCAAGAGAATTATTAGAACAAGTTGCAGAATTTGAAAAGGCAGAGTTTACATCTTCAAGAAAAAAGGTAATTTTGGGTCCTCCTAAGTCCATACCTCTTAACAGTGGGCATTCGAGGGATGAAAGGAATTCTCAAGGAGAAGCATTTGAGGGCGTTCCAGACCTGTCTCTCGGAGCTTCAGCCAGGAGACAACAAGTGGAGGAAGTAACTGTGAAAACCTGCTTCTGTCTGTCAGGACCTGCACACACCTGTGTGGCACACACGCACGTGCGCATACGTGCCATCCCTACAGTGCAGTGGGAATCCCGGCCCTGGCAGCCCTTTCTCAGTGGAAGCAGAATGCAGGGATGGGACGAGCCCCACTGCGTGCATCTGCCCTGTGTCCATTGGCCCCCGGCCTTGCAGCCTGCTGGATGGCTGAGCCACGTTTGCCTTGTTTCTTCCTTTTTTGTCCTGGGAGCGGAGCCCGGGGACTCATGTATGCTCTGCAGATACCTTCCCATTGAGCCACACTCCCAGCACTTTTATTTCTTTTCTTTTGAGACAGGGTCCCACTAGGTTGCCCAGGCTGTCCTCAAACTCCCGATCCTCACTAAGTGACAGACTATAAGCACAGGAAGCAGTTCCGGTTGCTCCCTTGGGGCATATTTCTGGCTAAGAAATTTCTGGCCCAGTGGGCATGTATTCCTTTATTTTGAGTGCTTTCATCTGTAATCACCCTAGTACTCGGCAGTACTGACAGCTCTTGCAGTCTGAGGTTCTGCAGAAATCTTTCGGCTCCCACAGATAAGAACCCCAGTCCTAGATGTTGGGAAGTCTGTCACAGCTGCCACAAGCTCCTGCCTCCCTCTCTTTCTCTTTTTCCCTTCCATCTGTGTTTTAAAGGTGTAGGGAAGGTGGGTCTCACCTTAGCTTTAGCCTGCCTCAGGCACTGGAGCTGGGACAGCCTGGGCCTGGGGCAGACAGGCAGAACCCCGATCCATCGCCCTGGGCCAGGGTGTACAGTGCCCGCACTTGGGAAGCTCTGCTGCTCGGCGCTGACTGCGCCTGGTTTCTATTTCATCTCAGCCCATCATAGACACCGCAAAGCCGAAACTTGTTCCTCTGAACGAAGGTGGAACAGCAGAGCTCCTAAACAAGGTATGGCGGACATCACTTGAGAAGCAGAGCCCTGTGGTTCTGTCCTTCTGTGGCCTGAGCAACGCTAGGGCGGGAAGCAAGGGAGTTGATGCTTCGCTCTGGTGCCTGGTGGCCAGCAGAGGGCACCCTGGCCTTCCCAACCAGGGTTCTGGCTGGTATTTATTAGGGACAGTTAGTCTGTGAGCCATAACAAGGAGGTTTTTGTAAGTCTGAAAAAGTTCCCGATCTGCCAGTACTTTTATGGCTCCCAGACTCTTGCACAGATCTTGCTAGGGAGGAAAGGCTGTGTAGCACCTGGTCCCTGCCTCAGAACCCTTAGTGTTTCACTGGCTAGGGAGCTGATGTTCCAGGAGCAGGGACAGGGAGCGCCGCCAAGGGCAGCGGAGGGCAGCAGCCCCACAGGGCCGGCCGGTGCCAGCAGCCGCACCGGCCCAGCAGTGGCGCCATCCCAGCAAGGGCAGGGAGCAGAACAGTCAGTGGGGGAGGCCGGTGGAGGGCTAAGGGGCACCCGGAAGATGAGTGGATGTTTACATTGCTCTTTAAATTTGTTACGTAAGAGACACATGGCTGTGGGTCCCCTCAGAGTCCTCCTCTCTCCAGACACACTCATCTCATCATCTCAGCCGCTCTGCGGCAGCTCTGGGGTCCTCTTTCCAGCTGTGATCAAAAATACGGTGACGACCGCTGCAGAGCACCGTCCACCAGAGAGGCAGCACGTGAGAACACAGCGCTGTGTCCTTGTCCGCCTGAGTCACCAGGTCTGGCACCGTGAAACTCCTGGCTCTTCCCCAGAGCCAAAGTGACTGCAAGGCCAACATTTTGAATCGATTCAGGACATTGTGGAGCCAGAACAGGAGAAGTAAAGACCCTCAGGAAGGAGGGCTCCAGAGCTGCTGCAGGAAGTGGCGAGAAGGATGGGACGAGTGTGTTGGAACCAGGGGATGCTGAGGGGGTTCTGGGCAGCGGCTCTCACTGTAAGAGACTTTTAAAAACTTAAGAGTGACCGTATTTTTCAGTCCCACCCTCCATACGTGGAGTCTAGTGAGAAGGAAGGCAGACCTGGTGGGTCTTGGGTTAGAGCAGTGGGAGAGCAAGGCTGTTGGGTCTCAGCTGGGCCAGAACCGTTTGGGGGCTTGTGGCGTGGCAGGGGAGGGGACTCAAAAACAGCTGGCGGGGGCCGGGACTTAGCTCAGTGTGCTGCTGAAGGTCCTGAGTTCGATCCCTGTTACCAAAACAAGAGAAAAGAAAACAGCTGGCAGGCCTGAAGGGCCGTTGTATAAGGCAGAGAGGAGGAGCTAGAAGATTTGAGCCAAAACCAACACAGGTGCGGAGGCTGTGAGCCTGGCGAAACTGGGATATTGTCAACAACCCAGGCACGGGGCGTTTTGAACTGTTATGTAATTTCTGTTTACACTTCAAGGGAGACAAGTCATAATTTCAAGAACTGAAAGTATGTTGGTTGAAATAATAAAACTTGAATTTACTCACAAAGGAAATTTTAAGACTTCAAGAAGAGAATGAGAAGTTGAAGTCAAGGCTGAAGACGATTGAAACGCAGGTAGGCGAGGCTCCCTTTAACAAGGCTGCCGCCGCGATGCCGCAGACCCTGAGCGCCTTCCGTTTCTGCTCGGTTCTTGTAGGCTACGAATGCCTTGGACGAGAAGGCGATGCTGGAGCGAGCGCTGCAGGATTTACAGCTGGACAAGGGGAAGCAAGAGGTGATCATGTTTCCGCTTTTTCATGTTGTCCAAATAGAATCAGCTTATGGCGTGAGACTGGGTCCTAGTCACCGTCCATCGTCCCCACCGGCAGTCCCCGCACAGCACCCCCGGCCCCTGCACTGGGACATCCCCATGCCCAGGCCAGAGACTTGTCTGGGGTTGGATTGGTAGACGCAAGGCATGCCTGGTCACAGTGGAGAAACGAGGGGGCACGCTTCTAGCTAACCGGAATTACATCCGGGTTGTACTGTGGTGAACGCTGCGGAAGTGTGCCCCAATGAGTGACAGGTGGAGTCATCAAACTGCCCTGTGCCCCTCACCCTGGGCATCAAGGTGAGGTCAGCTAGGGCTGTTCTTCCGAAGCCCTCTAACAGCAGGTACCCAGGAAGCCGAGGCAGGCCGGTCTCCTGCAGCTTTTCCAGTGGTTGTATTGTCAGTGTCTGCTCAGCGATCTCAGAGTCTGCTTCCTTCAGGGTTTGTTGAACTTTTTTCTATGAAAATCATAAACACAGACCAGAGTAGAGAGGCCAGTACAGTGAGCCCTGTGCCCCACTCAGGGCCCTGCCCTCCACCTGGCTCATCTGGCTTCACATCCACCTCCTCCCTCCGTGTCTTCTGGACACAAATCTCCGACACTGCACTGTTTCCTCTGTGGGTCTCTTTCAGTTAGGGGGATATTTCTTATGTGCCTAAAAAGAGGAAAATGTGTATGATTTTTCAGTGGAAATACGGTGGACCCTTGGCTTATGAGCTCAATTCATTCCCAAGGGCTGGTTGTAACTCAGGTTGGTCAGCTGAGGCTCAGGGTCCTCTACACAGCCTCCAAGCGTCTCTCCTGCGCACAGGCAGATCTCAGTGTCCTTAGAGAGACACTGGCCCAGGATTTCTCAACTAACCCCACACAGGAAAGGATGCTGTAGTGCTCCTTCTGGAACTCTTTAAGGGTTAAATCCGTACCTGAGACCATCTGGGAGCACAAGCGGCCGGCATTCGGGTCATAACTCTAGACTTTATTCGTAAGCTAAAACTAAAATTCCAGTCATAACCCAGGTTGTTTGTATGTCAGGCCAGTCATAACTCGAGGGTCCACTGTACGCCAAGAACCTACTAGATTTATAAGCTAGAAAGCTGGGCCTTTGAATGGCTCTCTCATTGTCCAAAGTACAGTCGCAAACATTTTCAGATGCTGAATTTGTTTAAAAGCTATTTGGGGCTTTGCTTGCATTTTACTTTAAGATTCTTGGATACAGAAATTGAAGAGTAAAATAAAGGAAACGGGGAGGGGAAAGGAGAAAAAGGATCAAAATGACCAAGAATTGATGCCTGTGTCCCAGTTCCCCCAAACCAGTGTAATAATTGGGCATCACAAACATACACTAATAAAACATACGTTACAGAGCTGAAGCCAGGTGTGGTGGCACACGCCCGTCATCCCAGCATTGAGAGGCGGAGGCAGGCTTTAGCGCACAAGTCCGGTGGCGCTCAGGCCCCCCTGGAAAGCAGCTCCCCGCCGCACAGCTGTGGCTGCCGGGCCCACACTGCGTCCGTTACAGGTGCTGTCGCCTTTCAGAGAGCGCCCGGCAGTATTAACCACATGGCAGCGGCCGTGTGATTAAACATCTGAGGGGAAATTCCAGCTAGGAGAAACAGGCCGGGGGGAAGAGATGCCGCTGTCAAGTCACCCACTGACCCATCTGAGTGGAGCTTGGGCAGACGGGTGGCCCCGTGCAGAACCTGGCTCCCCGGGTTGAGCAGCGCGGCCCCAGGTCGCCTTGACGGTAAAATCAGGCTGATTTGGCTCAGAACCTGAAATGACGACACATTGTTTTAATTATCTAGAGTCCAAGTGGCTCTGTTGATAACTAACAAGACGAATTGGTTATCTAGAAAGTGCTACACGGTGTCCAGCCAGTGTTTTGTCTGTCTGTTTGCCACGGCGGGATTGAACCCAGGGCTCCATGTCTTGGACACAGGCCGCTCAGGGTTCCTGGGGCTCAGAACCTGCCTCGCGTCTGTCCTGGGCCGGGGAGCGTGGTCCAGAAGACTAGCGCAGAGGAGGCTGTAGGGGTCATTAGCTGCTTCCGCCTGATATCGTCAGTTAGGCGGGTCTGAGTTCAGAGTGAGCCTCAGAGACACTGCATCCCAGCCTTTGATAGCCATTTGTGTTCAGGCTCACTCCTTAGCCCTAAATGTAAAACACCCAGGTGTTTCATCATATCCCTTTCTTGTTTTTGAATTTCATTCTATATGAATATATTTCATATTTGAAAAATAAATATATCTGATGTGCTCAGTAATTCTTTAGGTTGACTGTAACCGCTGTGTTTCCAAGCATTTATTAGTTCCTTCAAGATCCAGGGCTCAAAAGCAGAGCAGACTCATGCTTTTATCAGTTACAATGGAATAAGGCTTTTTAAAGACTAAACTTCAAAACTGAGCAGGGCCTGGGCATGGTGGCACAAGCCTGTAATACCAGTACTCAGGAGGCTGAGGCAGGAGGATCGCTGAGTCTGAGACCACCCTGAACTACATACTGAGACCCTGTCTCTAAAAAACCAAAAATATGAGCAGGAATTTTTGTTGAAAAGACTGTCCCATCTACATATTTAGCAATTATAGACCATTTTCTTGCCATAGCGATACAAATCTTTTTTTTCCTTCGTGAATTTTATCACTCAAAACCCAAGATCTGGAGAGAAGATCCAAGCTGCAGGTAAATTATGCAAAACTGCACACAGCTCCTTGACGTGGGGTCACTGTCCTAGCGTCATTCCTCAGTGGGCAGTTACGACCCTGTGTTTGCGTCCCACAGGACTTAATAAAAGCACAAGACTTGAGCGACTTGGAAAACACGGTCGCAGCTTTGAAGAGCGAGTTTGAGAAGACGCTGAACAACAAGACGGAGAGCGAGAAGTCCCTGGAGGAGCACCTGGTGACGGCCAAGCACGAGCTGCTCAGGGTGCAGGGCCAGCTGAGCCTGGCGGAGAAGGTCAGGAGGCCGGGTCCGCCCGTCCCATCCCAGAGGGGCGGATGTGGCCGGGTGTCTGCTGGCCGGCGGCAGGGTGGACGGGACTCCTGCCCTCGAGGTCCTGGCCGGCAGGTGGCCTGAGAGCTGTCGCTCTGAGGCTGCCATCCCAGTGTGCAGCCACTGGGCCCTTCGCTGTCCTGCACCTGGCCACAGGGATGGGTGACCTTTTCTCTTGAGACTTCTATTCCTTTTTTTATAACATACGTGAAACACAGAGAGAGCTTAGTTGTTCACTGTAGGGGTGAGACGTCAAAGAATACGGGGCTAGCATAATTTAAATGCTCCTCCTGCCACTGCTTTGGGACTTGGAAGAAGCCTGTGCTCATTGGACTTGAAAATGGGTTTAATATTTCAGATAGATTTCCAGGTCTAGGATTTACTCTGCTCGAGTTATTTATTAATATTGTACTTGGGGAAATATTACTGTTTTACTGGCTTCTCACTTGAAATAACAGTTTTCAATTTGAGTAGTCTTAATTTTACGTGAGTATGTCTTGTAAGGAAGTTCGAAGATAGTGTAAGTGAACTGTCAGTAAATTTAGAGCAACAGTAGGCATTTTCATCACATTTGTTGTGATTGCCTTCACTGTTGCTTGGCAACGGGCTAATTTTTTTTTTTCTCCAAGCAGGAATTGGAGAAGAAATTCCAACAAACAGCGGCATACCGGAACCTGAAAGAGATGCTCACCAGGAAGAACGACCAAATCAAAGAGCTGCGGAGGCGGCTGGCGAAGTAGGCTGGGGCCCACCTTGGGGTGTGGGTCCTGCCCTGAGCTGAGCTCGCACCCCCCAGGCCGCGGCTGTGGGCAAGGGCAGCGGGCCAAGCCGCCTGAGCACTTCTCCCCTGCTCTGGCCCACTGGTCCACGTGTGGGCGGCCAGCTGGGGTCGTTGCCAGAGACTCACTGGGCAGCTCTGGCTTCATCAGAGTTCAGGGGAGGAGAGCTGGGAAGCGACGGTCAACTGACCTGAAGGTCACACTTGTCCTTGGAGAGGGACCAGTGCGCATCGGAGGATGTGGATCATGGCACTGCACAGCCAGAGCTGGGTGCCAGGCTCAGAGCGCAAGCCAGGGGGCCTGAGTCCTGCTGCCCCAGCCACCCCTCGTCACCGTGAGGGCACTGCGCACGTGGCAGGGCTGGGTAGGGATCGTGCAGAGTGACTAGTGAGTCACTCATTCGGTAGTGTCCTGACGCTCTGATTGTTATCCCCAGGCACGAAGCTGAGGACTAGAAGCAGAAGAGCCCTCGTCTAGAAGCTGCCTCCCACCTCCGGAGCATATTACTGTCATATTCTTCCTCCTTATTCCTCTGATGTTTAGACTTTGCTTCCATATTTAGAACTCGAGTTCCTGTTCTCACTTGTCTAACTGAGAAGAGAAACACAGTGATTCCAACCGGCTGTCGCCCGCCCATCCATCCCTGCCCCGTCCCGTCCGTCCGGGGTGCTGAGGACCCTTACGGTACAAAGCGTTTGGAGAGGGAAGAAGAGTCTCACCCTTTGGCATTAGAATAGGAGTTAGCGAGTTAATAATATCTATGCTTGTACATTCCCCAGAGGTAAAAATAAATACTAGAGTTCTCGAAGGCACTTAGTACAAATCTTATTTTTAATACTGAAACCGGTACCCGATTTGACAATTTTAAAATGTGAGTTCGTTGAAAATGTGAGCACTGTCTCACACGCAGCCTCTTCACCAGCTCTAAGGAAGGAGAGCAGCAGTGAGGGTGAGGACTGGGTTCCCTTCCTCTCTGCCCCTGCCAGCCCAGGCACGCACGTTCTGGCGGGGGCAGCTGCAGAAGCCAGGTCCCCCCTTACTGCTCCCTTCCACAAGCATCTGGACTTGGGGTAAATGCGACCTTTCACTTGTTCCCAGAACTCCTTTCCAGCTAAGTAAGAACTCTTTTTAAACCTATACTCAGCCTACAGCCCATTGCAGACCTCAGACCGGGCCTGGGCTCGCAGTGGTTTCTGTGCACCTGAGTGGCAGTGTATTCCGGAGCCTTAGTCCATTTCCACTGGTCCTGCTTCCTCGTGGGTGACTTCAGATGATATGGTTAGAAATGGCAGCTGTGTGATGCAGCAGTGTGCTGAAAGGGTAGATGAAACGAAGCCGGAACGCACTGCGCCTCGAGAGCAAAGCACGCACTTTTCCCACGTCGATGCTTAGGAATGTTTCACACTTTCCAAGAGCAAGGGCATCATGGCCTGCCTGAAGCCTGAAGGAGGTTGCTCACTCCCACTCGTGTAGATCTCCCCGACGAGTTTACTCACCAAAGCATAAGTCTCATTTTTATTCAAGTTTTTAATACAAGGGTGGAATGCATTATTTTTCTCGTAGGGTGTATATTAAATTACTGAAGGAACAACAATAAAAGATAAACCCAGATAAAAGATAAATCCAGTTGGAAGCCAGCACTAATTACCTGCTTTTCCTCTCCTGTCTCTGACGTTGGCCCGCCCATCAGGCTCCACGTCCTTCAGTCCTTCACAGTGCTGCCTGAAGGGCCTGGGCCGACCTGTGTCTTTGGCTGGACTCGGTGCCCTCCCAAGGTCCCTTCCATTCTCCGTGCACCCGGGTGCTGGGAGGGCTCTAACAGGAGGTTAGCGTAGCGGAGAAACCCTCTCCGCCTTCCTGGGGCAGCAGGCGGGAGGGAAGCACCCCGAAAAGCCTGTGTTCCAGGCTAGAATTTCAGCTTGGGCTTTGGTAGCAAGTTAGAAATAGGCGGTAGAGTGCGTTCTGCTTGTTCAGTAATGAATTCAAAAGTATTTCTGAAAACTTAAAACCTCAAAGACAAATGTGATGCATCTGGGCACAAACGACATTGGAGTGCTTCAGGTTCTGTCATCGTTTTTGTTGGGTTTTTTTTGGTACTAGGGATCGAACTCAGGTCCTTGCGCTTACGCAGCAGGCAGCGAAACCACTGAGCTAAATCCCCAGCTCCTGCCATCGTTTTTTAATTCATCCCCCTCAGCAAAATGCCATTTTCAATTCGTATTTCCTTCCGTGGCTCCCTAGCTTTAGGGTTTATCTCCTGTGACGAAAAGGGGCCCGTGAAGTGTCTGTGATCACTGGCCAGGGTGTGCAGAGCTTTGTTTCACCTCAGAAGTGAAGGTTCTTGCCAGGCTCTGACTCGGACTTCTGTTGGCAAAGCTTTGTTAAAATTCCCTGACGTTCGTTCAAGTGCTTTATTTTTTCTGCTGTACGGTTACATTTTGCAGCAGTGTTAACATTTAAATGTTTGCTTCTGTCTTACAAAATTCAACATCACTCTACTGTGAGACCAAAGCGACTCCATTTTGCTAAAATCCACCATTCCCCTAGCCTCTCAAATTAATGGTTAAAATGTGTTTGCTCTGGAACAAAAGATAGAATCTGTAACAAACCAAAGTTCCTAAGTTAATTACTCAGCCATCTGTTTACCCAGGAAATGAACATCCTGGGCCCACTATCTGTAGGAACCGTCTGTCAGTGTGCTGACTGTCAGTGCTGGGTGGTCGTGACCATTAGTCACCGTGTCTGCTGACCATCAATACGTGACAGTTGCCCACTAACCTTTGTCCTTCTTTTCTTTTGTAAAACCTATACATAATCCCCCCTTACCCCTGATGAGTTCAGCCAATCAAAAATGTACACTTCATGCTCGCTAAATGTTAACCAATCATGTAACTGCTAAGTGGAGAATCTCCAAACCTTGCTGTAACCTCTATAAAAACCCCGCTAATTTGGAACTCGGGGCTCTCAATCTCGATCCGCTGCGTCGGTGACAGTTGAGAGTCCCTGCTTAAGCTTGAATAAACGACCCTCATGTGCTTACATCGGAAACGGCCTCCTGGTGGTCTTTGGGACCTTACAATCTGCGCACAACACTACATTAAACATGTAATTCTCTTTGAGAAAGCTTTGGTGCTGTTATCTCTGTTCTCCTAACTGAAAAGGGCTTCGGTGTCTGCATTTCCGCGCATGGTGTGTTAGATGCACACGTTGGGTTGCCAGAATTTGGCACACTCTCCGCTCACACATAAACTCTGTGTTCTGAAGTTCAGGAAGAGCCGGCTCCCCTGCTGTTCCTGTTTGGACGCTGGTATTTACAACTTCTTAAAACAATTCTCAGCACCTCATAGGAGCAAGTGTGGCATTATTCCTGAGGGGAAGATCATGCCCAGGCAAGGTTGTAGCCTCATCCTTGGAGGGGACCCTGTGCCCCTGCACCCTGGTCACCAGCTCCTCGGCAAGAATGGATTAATGAGAGCCGTGAGGTTCTCCCAGGTGTCCAATATCGCTTCCTCTCCTACAGGTCAATCCACCACTGCTGTTAGACAAAGTGGAATTGAGCTATGAGCATCCTGTAGAATTTTAAAAGTAACAGATCTCCTATCAGATTAACAGCATAGGAAATGGGTTTTCATGAGCACTTGGGAAAAGAAAGCTAACTTCCGCAGGCCAGCAGGGTCTCCCGAGAGAGAGAGGCTCAAGTCACCTGTTCATCGTTGTGTTCGGGCGCTGTGGGTGGAACCCTGTTGGGAGCAATGCTACAAAATTCTAGAGAAAAATCATTTGAGTAGGCCTGGTTCTCCTGCCTACAGGCCAGCTACGACACTCCAGACATAATTGCATTTTGGCCTCGGGTCACAACTGAGACCTCAGTGATCCTCGGATGCTGTCATCTCCAGGACCAGACCACACCTGCGGGAGACGCCAGGGAGGAACCAAATCGCCAGGGAGGAACCAAATCTTCATCTGCATAGTTCCCCATTGTTCTTAGATTTCCACTGCCCCAGCCTTTTGTTACACCTTGTTTATCCCACTGTGAAGTACTGAACTCTGCAGTGCACTTGTTACACCTGCTTCCCCAGGTACTGAGTAAAAGGTGCTGCAAGCTAGGGGGGCTTTGTCTTTGCCGCCCAGAGCAGCACTGATCAGACCCAAAGCTCAGCTTCTTCTCAGTCTCATTTGTCTACCTTTCCTGTAATTCGCCGTGTGCTGCCGTGGCTCGCAGGAGACTAGGACTCACTGCAGAGGTTCTGGTTACGTCCCCTTCCCCTGTTCCCTACAGAACCCAGGGCCTCGCACATGCTAGGCGAGCGCCCACCCCAGGTACACCCCAACCCCTCACTTGTCTCTCACAAGCATGAGAAACCAGGTGTGGCGCACAACTGTAATCCTAGCACTTTGGGAGGCTGAGGCGGCAGAGTCACAAGTTCAAGTCCTGCCTGGGCAACTAGATGAGAACCTGTCTCGAAAATAAATAAGAGAATACATAATAAAGCAGGCTGGGGCTATAGCTCAGTGTGAAGGCCCCTGGGTTCAAAGGAGAGAAAAACCCAAACAAACTAAACCGGGACTTGAGGCTGGGGCAGGGGCCTCACCGACCTCATGACAGCCTCTCTGACAAGTTCCAGTCGGGCTCTCCAAAGCGCAGGCCCTCGGGACTTGTGTGCAGATGGTTTTTCGGGGAAGTAAGTCCAGGAGGTCCTACCAGAAGCCTGTGTTCCTCTTCCTGCCCCCAGTCCAAGCCTGGTGGGAGTTTTGGTGACTGCTGTGTCAGCGTGACTCAGTTTACCCCCACCGAGCTCACCAGCAGCTGTGGTGCTCTGTTGTCACCCGGCCAGCCCCACATACAGATGCAGGGGTCCTTCTGGCCCTGGCTGTGTTCGTGGTGCTGCCCCCAAATCCAGAGACAGGGCTTTTGGTCGGTTGTTGTAGGCACCAGGGAGTTAGGAGAAAGGGCCAGAGCAGAGTGAGGAGGCTGGGGTGTCTGCCGGCCCTGGTTTATGGAGTGGGAGGCCCCCGGGACGGTGACCCCAGCACCACGTAGGTCTGGCTGGCCATGTTCCTGTGGCTGGCAAAGGGCCTGGGTGAGGACACAGAACCTTTTGCAGGCAAGGATACAGGGGTGCAGGTGGTCCCACCATGCCTGGGCAGACAGAGGCAGAGGGTCCTAGCATGCTTCCTTAGGTGAGATGGGGTCTTCCTATATAGTTCAGGCTGGCCTTGAACTCACAGCAGTCCTCCTGCCTCAGCCTCCCAAGTGCTGAAATTACAGGCGTGCACCACCACACCTGCTTCTAGCATGCTTTCCTTACTCGCCAAGGGTCTGTTCACTGGAGAAGTCACAAGCCCTGCTCAGCACTTTAGGCTGCAGCCTCACATGACCAAGCCACAACTACCTCTAAGTAGTAGATGTAAAAAGAGCAGCCCTGCGCCAGTTCACCTGCAGGCTCAGGCCCTGAGCACCTGCTCGTTCCAGCGTTCATGTACTTGGACCTCTGCTTCCCACTCAAGTCCATTCTGCTTATTAATAAGTAAGTGGAGATAAACTCAAAAGCACCACTGGGCTCGCTCTGCTGCACTCCACCATCTGTCTTTGCTGGTTTCCCCATTTCCTGTCCTGCTCGGCTGGAAGACCATTCCCCTTCCGGTTCCCAGAGGTGTCTTCCAGCCCCAAGAAGCCCAGGGTCCTGGTTCCAGGTAGAGAGTCCGAGCCCTTCCTTCTTTCCTTCTCTCCCCACACCACATGGTCTGGGATTTCCAGTCCAATGTCAAGTAGAAGCAGTGGGAGAGGACGTCCAGGCCTTGTCCTTCTGTC